ACAACGACACTAGCAGCTGTTGCCTATGCTCACCGGATACTGACACTGAAGATCAGATGACCAGAATTATAAGAATAAGCAACAAGGAACAATGGCTGGCAACGAATCAACCAAGAACCTATCACTCAACAAATATGCACTGGAAGGAAGTGGAGATGGACTGGACACACATTGAGAAGGCCGACTGGAGACATCACGCGCCAGGCAAGGCCGTCGAGTGAAATCCAGATGGGAAACGATGAGTTGGGCATCCCAGCTGAGGGTGACATGAAGGAGATGGTGTGAAGAATTGAAAGCTTCTCGGCAGTCGTGGAGTGGGGTTCAAAAGACTGCAGAGAACAGAGTGGATTGGCAAAGTGCAACTAAAGCCCTATATTCCACTTGGAACCCATGGGGTAACTGATAAAATAATAAATCACGTAGAATGTTTGTTTCCATCGATATTGTTTCACTGAAACATAACCAAGCGTTAGAGCTAATATTCCTTGTGCAATTTAGTGTTCAATATATCGCTTTGCTTTTTAACTGGAAACGTTATTTATGGTTATGGCTTTCTGTGTTCCACATGATGTACAATGCAAGTATCACGTGCGAAGGCTTCAAAAAATGGCTACAATGGTACTGTTCGAATTTCTAGGGCTTAACTATATAAGCCTACCATCTTCGTCTCCTTGATATTTAATTGCTATTTAAATCCGTTCAGTGACCTTCAACTGACCTTTGAACATACATTTAATAACATCAAAAGAGCGAGCAAAACAAACTTATTCGAACTCCAGGGTATAACTTTATTTCAAGAGGCTCTTCTTAGCTGTTTATAGGTCTATAAAGTATTGATCATGAAATAACAATAACACATTAGTATAATTGAATTTATCACTGTTTGAGGAGAAAGTTATGAGTGACCACTTATTTATGTAAATTATTAAAATATATTATCATTTCCACTTATGGTCCTAGTAACTTCTAGTCTTATTATTTCTTTATTTGGTGAACTTATCCACAAACTGACTTTTAGTTGATAAACGCAAGTTATAATTAGGTGACCAGGAGATAGGGAAATAAAATGATACCATGTCACTCTCAGTCTTTTTGCATTTGCTCTTTTCGAATCAATAAGGAGGAACATGGGAATGAAATATAACTATCAGCGAAATTCCTATCGGAAACATCATAGTCACCAACATATGTCTTTTGATATACATGAAACTTCTCATTCGCACTTTTCACGTGCAAAGCAAAATAATTGCTGAGTAAACTTCGAAACGTTTTGAATAAACTGTGTGACAAACTGGAAACCTCTACCAATCAAGGCATGACAAAACCAACACATCTTAGTGCAAAGATCAATTTTTTGAAGACATAAAGTGGATGATTGTAACAGTAAATCTTCAAAAAATTGAGTTTCACTTCATGGTATAAAAAAAGGCTTATTTGACAGGAAAGAGGTGTCTGTTATGCAGCCAAAAACGAGTCTCCGAAATCCGCTGCAACACCATCTGAATTGTATTAAATTAAGCGAATACATATCTTCCGTAGCCGTAAGCGGCTTTAGTAAATCATAGCTGGACTTACTTTATTATACAGTGAGTAAGCTTATGACATTAAAATCTATACAGTCAGATTAAATTACGTGCAAATGCTCGTAGTTCGTACAACCTCATTTTTCAGGTACAGAAAGTCATCACCTCATTAGGTGAAAATAAGGTGAAATAGTAATCTAATAAATTAATTTATACTCATGGCATTTCAGTTAAGAACACTCCAAGTTTCTTGTAGTTTAAAATCTCTGAGTTCCAATAAAAGCAAACACCTGAACCACTTGAAAACTTTCTCACGATATAGAGATTTACTGGGAAAAAATAGCTCTGACTATATAAGCATAAATAGAAACGCTTTACAAATGATCCACTACAGTGAGTGCACACAAATTCTTTATTTATCATCAGTATGACTTAATCACAAAGGAATTTCTTCTTGAAGAAATCACGCAACGCACACGGTCATTACTCTTCGTTGATATGCCGCTAATTCATTTTCCTGTTACACTAGACTGAACTGATCGACCTCTGTTGGCACATTGATATGCGAATGCCTAAATATTACCTGAATGTTTGTTATTATAATTTACTTGTTTGTGGCTAGCAGGAGAATCCAAGACGTGCATTTCGTCATATTTTGGAATCGTCAGCTGGATGTACACGCATCGTGGATTCTCCTGCTAGCCATAACTAAGTAAATTATAATGATAGATATGGTCATTTTTTATGTTTGTTAAAATCGTTTATCAAGGGTAGGTTAAACACTTATATTTTGACAATTATAACTGAACATATTGTGTTTGTTCATTCAGATTTGCTTCTAAAGATATCTGAACTGTATTTGAATCGTAGTACCATCTACATAAGAAGAAAGTAACTATTTGGCAACAAAAGAAAGTTTCGATAACGCTATTAGAAGACGAAGATTATCTGAAAAATGTGATGTATTTGCGCAATCCATTTCGAACAATCTGATCACACATTTAATCATAGAAAATTGTTCAGACAACCTAGTTTTCCACTGGATCAAATTTTAGCATAACCTTTTATTGAAAAAAGGGGGGAATTAAGCCTTTTAATATTTCACCGAAAAAATAAGTATTCAACACTGTTTCGGTAATATCCTCGACCAGATTACGGACAGAAACGAGTTATTGGGAAAACGTAAGTGAGATATCATCTTTACTTTCTTTTGATTGTGAAGATGAGAAATAAAGTATTTTAACAGACGGGTGGCTGGCTAAGCAGAACTGTTCAAAATCAAATCTCATTCAGTGTGTAGTGAGTACTGTTCCGTTGATTCGTACATCTTCATGAATAAACAAACCTGATCAAACTGACTCCAATCAAGGTAGCAAGAAAAGAATCTGACACATGAGACGTTATTATATATTCGTAGAAAAACAGATAAGAAGGAGCTATTTCGATAGTTCAATGAAACTTGTTGTGAGTAGAGAAACTTTAGGGAAATATAGACCACTTACGGTTCAGAGGAAACCACTATTCCTGAACAAGTCACCTTCTCCTGTGAAGAAAGCTCTACAGTGTGAACTACCAGGTAACTTAACAAAAGTGTTACCATGTGCCTTTTTGTTTGTGAACAAAGTAGACAATTAAAATCTCAATCTTGTGCCATTTGGTTGTAACTCAACTATACTGACTCATTGAAAATAGCTTTTTGTATACCCCATGGATCTTTCTATTAACAGCATTAATGACTATTACACAGTGGAAACTAAGTAATTTAGACCCAATACTTGTATTCTTGGAGTTCAGAAAAGGTATTTTCCCTCCTTAATCTCTCCTTTGACGATCGTATTGATAAATGGCTTTATCACCCGTTTTTATCTTGCACTTGTCCTCCACTCTTTTGAGTTAACCGCTACATTTCTACAGATTTCGACTACCCACTTTTCTATCCATTGTAATTACAGGACTAATAATTTTCTGAGTCTGTGATGGAGATGATTCACGATGATCGACTGCTGTTTTTATGATTAACTGCTTTACAACTGATATTGTTCACACTCTTAATACGATTGCTAAAATTGTTGTAATCATTATCACTAAGCACATATTTTACAATAATCACTACTGACACGTAATCTATTGAGTGATTTTTGCATGGGTAATTAGAGCTAAACTTCAGACGAATTTTAAAGAAACATCTCTGCCTGCTAAAATAGATTGTTTGCATAAAAATAAACAAGCAATATTAGTAGCAATTAGCTCATTTACGTCTCTAATAGACTTTTTTTGGTGTGATTTAAGGAAATTTATGATAAGAGAGATTGATTTGTAACACGTTCACAAATGGACAACATAAAATATCACTCATATCACTACCCAAGCATTTATACAACCTAAACATGACTGTTTTCCTCATAGCTATAATATTAGTGTTGCTGTTAAGTATAGTGCTGAAATGTACAGTGTGAAATATTAGAGCTGGAAAATACCATTGCTATGTAGAAAAATATTCGTCTTGAAAATTCCTGAAATTTTTATGGTTATAAAATTCCTGATACCAATAGATTTTTCTTTCACCTGAAAAAAACGTACCGACTGCAAATAAGCAAAGAGCATGATGTCGTTCAGAGTACTTTCTTGTTTCATGACATTATTAAAAATTCCAACACTGAATGAATAGCTTTCCTTTCACTAAAAACACGGCTGAAACTATAATAAGCAAAATAAAAAGTTATTCAAAAGTGAAGTTTCATCTCCATTATGAAACCACTTAAAAATTTATAACTGATGGTAGTATTTATGTGGTGTGTATCTATCTAGATTAAATGATCTATATACTTTCGCTCACTGAACAGATATGTTACCACAATTGACTTGACCTCTGATGAAGGACTTGAATACACACCCCTCTTTACGGAAAATGCCCTAGTATATCGTCCAAAAGTATGCAATTACTGATAACTACTACGATAATCTCACAAGGATGAATATATTAGTGACAACTTAAAACAAAATGGAAAGGATTTCATCCAAAATGGTTGAATACTGAACTAAAACGCACTTTTTAAATAAATGTCATTAGGGAGAGATTTAAGTTTTCAATTCTTTAAAAAACACTTGAAATGACACTCTTTTGTACACTATTTGCTGCAATACTTATACTGTACGAAAAAATGAACAACTGTCTTACCAAGTCATAATTAAGAATTTCCAGTTTGTGTTGAAACCCAATAAAATGTAATAATGAAGTCAACAATCTGATGCACCGACGCTTCATTTTGTTTCGTTGCAAATTTCAGGTATGCTAAATATTTTTTGTAGGTCTGTGAATGCTTTTTTTTCCTTTCTTTTTAACTGTTGTCTACGAATTAGATGATTGTAAGAGAACCATCATACCAGGACAATGCGAACTGAATTCTTTCTGTGAATCTCTTTCACTGCTTACAAAAGGAAATTCATCTGCGTTAAAATATGCACATGCACACACTTTTGCTAGACTAAAGGAATTTATGCAGTGAAGTGGAAAACAAAATGAATGAAGCATGTTCAAAATACTTGAAAGCAAATGAAGTTATTGTAACTGTTGATAGGGTTACTAATTAACGTGATGATGAAATCAATATTCTAAGGGAAATAGAAAAAACTGATAGAAGATGTAAGAAAATTATCATTCAGAATTGGTAGGAGCATTGTGTCATGACCTATGTAGGCACAATGAAATAATAATGATGATAAACTTTTGTGAATTTGTGAAGGAGAGTGAAAACTAAAAGTATAACAGTTCCACAGTCAAACTGAAAGACATAAAATAACCCAGTAACATTACCTAGGTTTTCAAACATTTGGATTACGAGAACAACGCAAAGTAAAGTGTAGTCCATGTGAAACCAGATTTTTCTTTTATTAACAACAGTTTTGCAAGGTGGTAGAAAATTATAACTCATACTTTCGATGTATGTTGCCGATTTTGAGAAATCCTTATTTTGCCATCTCCTCAGTTACCTTACTCTATTCAGAATCATCATTTGACTACTCAGTAATTATTTAACTATGTTAACGGCCTAAAGAATCTCATCCATTTTCAAGAAATTAGATTATACTACGTCTAAGTCACTCTTCTTTTTAGTTTAATAGTTGTAGTCAGTCTGGTAATAGTAGGTGTACGTTGCCATGTATATTATATGAGGTGTACATTTTAAGTAAATGGAAAGAATCTTTGAAGCGAATGAGTTCCTGGTATTCTTTTGAGATAGTTGATCTTCCATTAGTCACTTTTGTAACCTGAGTGAATTATGTGACATTTGCTTGCTGCATAAAAAAATTTACCAATTGATTCATTAAAAATCGAAAAATGGTAACAGTTGAATAACTAGCTGAATATATATGGAATCCCATTTTACATATAAATGAAGAATTGGTCTTTATAGGTCTAGTATATATTTTGATCCACAGAATTATTAGAATGTGCAACGATCAACACTCTTGCAGACTTACTGTTGGTGTTAAAAATTGTCTTATGAGCGAATACTGCTGTATATAGTAATATGACTTGTCACTGCATATCACTACAAAACAAACCAACAAAATAACATACCGGCAGACAATCTTTATACTCGAGTTATTCAAAGTCATATTCATTCCGTTAATTCTTATCAGGAATTTCAACCTATATATTGAAAAGACGGTTAACACACCAGTGAACAAAACGAGAAGATAGAAACCACTCATGCTGACCTGCAGATTTTGCTAACCAGATCATAGTGACCTATACATCTTATGACCATTTCGTTTCTTTTGAAGGCTCAGCTGATCAACAGTTTGGGCTGACACATCCAATTCAAGAAGTAGAATTGTTCAAACCAAGTTGATCTCTCCATCGGAAGCAGTTCTAACTACTCACTTTGTCCAGTAGTATGGTTCGTCATTCCATGACACTTTCTTATCAAATATTACACCTGGTTATCTTGGCTGAGCAGTTTCCAACCGGGGTTCTGTTGACACCGCAGTTGGGCAGTCAAAATGTCAACAAGGACTATGCAGTTTGCAACTGAAATCCAATCAAACAAGATACGCTTTTTTCTACTACAACGACAGTGGTGATAAAACCCTTAAACATGGTGTATAAATGTTTTTAGTCAGGATAAATGGCACCAGGACCGTAAAGCAACTACGATCCACATCCTAAGTTAAAACTCTGTGGAGCTACGTTGGCTACAGTTTGGTCGTAAGGTTAGGTGACTATGAATTGCCTCGAAGAAATTCACTATGTTACGGATAATAATCGTTCACCGTTTGCAACAAAATTGTACAGATAAATCGCTTATTTATCCCATTGGTTTGTTTACTCAAGCATCTTTCTGACAGACAATCATCAATCTCGTTTATTGGTAAAATACGCAACTCAGTTATTGCTTTATTCTTTATTCGCCTAACTCCTTTTCTCGCTTTGTAGATCAGCGCCTTGCAAAAACTATTAAGGGAGTTTCACTGACAGACAACGACTGCTTGTCAACAGACCAGGGCTGGATTTGTGCTATGTGAGTTGGTGTTTTATAAAGAATTAGAATCTAAATTACTCAAGCGGTTTACACACCCACCATGAAAATCGTGTTGCATTCGTCTCGAAACTGGTAGTCAAGCAAACTATACTGCTTAAGGAATTCCTAGAGTTTCTTTGTTCAGTTGATAGAAAGTCAAGGAGTCATTTTCAAGCTGTTAGTCATATGACCCCTTAAAAGTAAAATGCCACTTAGAAACCCGAGCGTGGTGACTTCATGACTTTTGATATTATCAATATTTGTAATGTTTTCTTGGGTGCTAAAGCTCAGCTTACCTAGTTTTCAAAATCTCTCCATAGGGAGTGGATTTTTGCAGTGAGTTGATCTGTTGGAATAGCCGACTTTCTTTGTTGTTCTTCCAACGTTATATTCTGTTTGTTCAAAATATATAATGAAATGCAGATATGACAGTCTGAATATTTTACATTCTTGGTAACTTAGGAATAGGAATAACTAAAACGTATAACTCATCAGTTCTATTTAAGTGACTATCTTTAAGAAAAATCTTTAACATGCTAAAATATTTCAAGCTTAACGGAATTCTCACCTGCATTGGAAACAACAGAAGCGAAATGTAATTTTGAAATGAAACCACCCCACATGCTAATTTTATGCTTGTGGGCAGGATGCACTTTCTTTATATCTAACAACTGTGACGTAACGAAACAAACGCAAAATAACTTAGAAGTCGGTGTTCAGCATGAATGATAAAGAACGTTATTCATATGCATGAAACTGTCATTTTTTAAAACGTTTCTGGGTTAAAAACTTAAGTTCCTGTGGGTGTTTCTTCTATAACGTGCCCGCTTTACAGATTAAAAGATTAAAAGTGTCAAGACTGAAGAGTCACTTATCTGTTAACAATAAAGAAAAGATCAAATACCATACAGGGGAAAATATTAGCTACTTCTATGGCATTTTATCAACTGAAACCAAACCAAATGTACTACTAATGCAAGCATCACTTAATATACGATACGAATTGTGCGCTGAATTAGGAAGCAAACCCATGAAATGGGGTAACTCAATCGCCAGGCGGATAAACGACTCGAAAGATTTACAAATGATTTATAAAGTCATTATTTATATCAATATAACAAGGAGAATAAAGTAAGAGAAATGACCATAAGAAGATGGAATTTACATATAGTAAACGAAGTGGTGATAGGTTTTGAGGGAATACTGATTACTTAAAAATGTACCAGTTATGAGTTGGACCCGAAATTTGAAGCCATTTAAAAGTGGAACTGCAAAGGACTCCAAGCAGTCAGTATTACTGTTTAATAATCAGATTAATGTGATTTATGCATTGGATAGTCTTACCTTTGGTTTCATAGGCTCTATATTGCCGTTGTTGTTCGGCAGATTATCCGAAGCAGTTACAGTGTATTTTACAGCCTCATGATTTTCGGTGGTTTTCTGAATGTACATTATTCAAGCTTATGAATATTCATGGAAGCTTTCCTAATACCGAATCACGAGACTGTTCGTTTTCAAGGAGTAGTAACAAACCCGAATGCGAACTGAGATGTAATTAAGCTGTTCACCAAGTTGATTTTGCTATGATTCAAATATTAAGGGAGCGATTTCCACAGTGAGTAAGCTACATAACATCAGTAAACCTTATTAGGTAAATAAACTTAGTAGATCCTCAATGTCACAAAAACCATTCTAGCGAAGTGTATTTATTTTGTTTGCAGACAGAAAAAATCAACATCGGACGTCGCATTACTATGTGACAGTTCGAGATACCACAACTCATACCAGCACATCAAGCGTGAATGCAGGAAGACGAAGATGAAGAAAGCAGTCAAAAGTAGTAAAACGTCATCAAAGGGGACCGGGAAAGAATAGAAGAATGCTGAAACTCACTTTTGCAATAAAGATGAAGGTAACATGTGAATACATCAGCTCCACTGACACCGATTCCTAGCCATATCACCTAGAGTTTCTAATCAGTGGTATTCTTTGATATACAGATCCCAGCCGGAAATTCTATATTACCCTACCCAACACATACCAACAATTAAAGATTCCAATGACTTATGTCATGTTTTAATCTAGACATCCTACCTCAACTAGGATTGCGTGACCGGGCAGAGGGTCACTACTCATGCGTAACACTCGTGCTAGCCATTTGAGGTGTTGAAAATTTACAAAATCATCAATTCAGTGGTCTCTTCGAGTAGAAACTCTATACCTAACTTCTCAGTTGCTGACGTGGTGACATCACAACACGCAACCTAAAGGTGGTCGAACACCTGAAACCATCCTCTGTTCTCAACCTTCAGTAGTCCTGTTTGACAGCATTATAGTAGAATAAGGCTAACTACAGAACAGTACACTCGACCCTCAGTAGGCAATCGGATATCATGCAATGTCGTACATGGAGTTAGTTGGCGCAAGCTGATCGAGCCTTTTGTCTCGGTGCATAGATTTTGTTAGTCACTGGTTCACCAGAGCTGATCTGACTTTTTAGATCAGTGAAGTGCTCAACGGGCGCAACTACTTCACTCCCTATTGTTTCTCGCCTTTTTTGAAGACTGGGACAACCTTTTATTGAGACCAGCTAGAAAGTATCATATTCAATTCACATGAACTTGCTATCACTTTAGTTGACTGAAGTAATGATCTTCTGCGGCTGTCCTTTGATATTAGTCTATTTGGTAAGGGGACTGGAATTAAAATCTCTGTATCCACAACTGACTGTCTTTTAAAATTATTGATGGCTGAGATTTTTGGTGAATGACACACCTATCTTCTTCCATTTTCAAAATTAGGTGTTCATTACGATCAATTCATAAACGTTACCTTGCTTTAGCTCGACTAAGCAATCCAGTTAATTTTGGACGATCAAGTGAAGGCACCTATCTAATTGTACTAATTATAACACCAACAAAAGAGGTAAGTTTCTTCTTTTTCATAACGGTTTATTCCCAAAAGAGATAGTATTTTAACCGTATAAGTTTTGAAGAACTGTGAATACCAATAGATCATTTATTATGTGCAGTAAACTGGTATTTGAATAATTCAAGCCAAACTACTGCGCTGAGTTAATGAAAAGCTCAGTCGAACTGGTCACTGAAGATATAGCGATAATACTACGCATACTAAGGCAAAACTCACACCCATCACATACTGATCAATGAAAGTACTTAGATCCCGGAATCTATCCTAATAAATTTCAACCACAGTGAACAGTGATAAAATAAATTATGATTTGTTTTCAGTCAAAATTCTAAAGAATAAATTTTCTTGTAAGATACGATTAACAATTAATAAACACAAAGAAGATAACCACTAAACCTAATTAGGTAGTAGATATAATGCAATCATGAGGTTTTTGAATACATCAGTGGACGGAGTTTATGAGAAGTGATTGATTCTATGGTAGTATTCACTATGAACCGACATAAGGTTTATGAATACTTTATTAACCCGGCTATAACGAAAACTTCGTGGTTTAAACACGAAACAATGCTCGCACTTCGTCCGGAAATACCACCTGCAGCCGCAGAACTACCAGTGAACACAAATTCCCCAACAAAATTCGAAGTCCTGAGCACCATATAGCGACTGAAATGCGGGAAAGCAGCAGGACTAGGTGAAATCCCACCAGAAGCACTGAAAACACACACAGAGACAATAGCGGACATCCTCACACCTCTATTGCAGAAGGTCTGAAAGGAAGGAAAAACACCTGGCGATTCAAAGAAAAGTTACCTTGTCAAACTGACGAAGAAGGGCGACATAAGTCTTTGCAAGAACTGGCGCGGAATCATCCTCCACTTCTGTCCACCCAAAGCAAAATATTAAGCCGCATCATACTGGAGAGACTAAAAGATTCACTGGATTCAAAATTACGACCAGAACAGGCTGGCTGGATTCAGGAAGTGCAAACCATGTGCAGACCAAATTGCAGAGATACGCATCATCATAGAACAGAGTATAGAATGGCAGTCAACTCAACTCTACCTCAACTTCGTCGACTTGAGAAGGCATTTGACAGCGTCGACCGACAAGTAATTTGGCAGCTGCTTCAACACTACGGAATACCACAAACCTTTATCAGCCTCATTGAACAACAGCTATATGAAGATGCCACATGCCAAGTAATTCACAATGGGAAGCTCAGTGATGACTTTGAAGTGTAGACAGGAGTGAAGCAAGGCTGGCTTCTATCACCCATGATATTCCTGATTGTGGTCGACTGGATCATACAACAAATAGTGAGGAGCTGTGAGAAGAGAGAGATACACTGGACCGATGAAAGGAGCCTAGAAGATTTGGATTTCGCCAATGACTTGTCCCTAGCGTCATACAAACATGAAGATTACAGGCGAAAAGTAACAAGTTGGCAGAAGAAGCAGGGCAGCGTAGACGGGACTTCAAGTGAGCATAAAGAAGACAGAGGTGATGAAGATACCGCACCAACAACAACAGCAATAATTGCAAACTCCAATCACCGTGAGACGGAGAGAATTAGAGGAAGTAGCCTCCTTCACCTATCTGGGAAGCACTGTTTCAACTACAGGCGGCGGTGGCACAGACGGGGAGGTTAAAGTCAGAATCAGAAAGCAAGACAGGCGATCATTAACCTGAGATCTACTGCACTCAGCATGTGGAACAACTTCAGGATTTTCAACACCAATTCAGTCACGTCAGTGCTTCCATATGGTTCAGAGAATTGGCATGTTACGAAAGACATTTCCAACAAACTACAGACATCCATCAACAACTGCCGACTACGCTGGCTCGATACTGACAGTGAAGATCAGATGGCCAGAATAATAAGAATAAGCAACAAGGAAGTCTGACTGGCTGTTAACCAACCAACCAAGAAGGCGTCACTCAACAAATATGCACTGGAGGGGAGTGGAGATAGATGTACTGGGCATACACTGAGGAGGCCGATTGGGGACATCACGCTCCAGGCAAGGTGGTCGAGTGGAACCCAGATGAGAAGCGACGAGTTTGGCATACCAGCTGAGGGCGACATGGAGGAGGTGGTGTGATGAATAAATGAGAGCTTTAGGGCTGTCGTGGAGCGATGTTCAGAATATTTCAGAGGACAGAGTGGAATGGAGACGTGCTATTGAAGCTCTGTTCCATTAGGAACCCAAGGGACTAATAATAAAAATAATTATAAATACCTGTTGTTAAATACTTTAGCGATTGTCTCTACCATACATCAGTCGATAAATCATAATTTCTAATGATAAATATATATTGCTACAGCTTATTTATTTAACAGTATTCAGGCACTTTTGTTGATTCAGTGGTCCGAAGACTGAACGATAGAACAGACTGTCCATATTTTCATCGGTGTTCGAATGGTTTAACAGTTATACGCTTTGCGTTAATGACCTCTTATTTCCCTTGGATACATGTTCAAACAATACAGTTTCCATTACACTGGTTCAAGGTCCATTGTTACTTTTCCTGCAACTTAGATTTGCTGATCTATGTATGTTCCGTCATAACACTGCTTTAAGAAGTAGGAAAAGTGCAAGCCATTCAGCGCAAAATCCCTTAGTTATAGTGAGAGTTTGACTTAATAACGTTCCTTTACTGTTATAAGTCATGTGTATCTTTTCACGTTCAGCTTCATATACCTCAGTTTTACAGCATGATAACTTGAAAACAGTCATATGCAAAATCCAGCTGGAGACGGTTTAAAATTTACCCTTCTGATAAATTGTTGTAAGCAACCATAAATACCATACATGAGTTCTGCACTAGTGGCCAATGTAGTGAGCGCAAGAGTCTGAATGAAAAGTAAACAAAAGTAAAACATAAACACAGTAAGCCGAAGACTTCAAGTACATTGAATTATAAAAAGGCCTGAATGTCGGTTTGTGATACGCAAATGGGGAAACATGAAAATCTGGGCAAAAGAGGCGTTACTTTGTCATGCCCTTAATATAAGAAACACATTTAGTTCTAATTTAGAGCGTTACAGTCTATATTTAACAGTATTAATATTCATTTGTCCCATTTAATTAGATAAGCAATACCATAGTTCTGAAAAAGTGATGTGCATGATATGTAGGTTAAGCGGCGCAAATTTCCATCATTACCATGACTAACATTCATTATGTACGCGAAAATTAATTCAGTATAGGCGAATACTTAATTTTAAAAGTGTATTTTTTAAGTTCCTATGAAGTAAATAACTTTTTTCTGATATTCCCAAACCAAGTGTAAACCACTCCTTCCAAGAATGATATCTATGCACTGGATCATATGTTTAAGTGAGAAAATAATAAATAATAATAATTATATCTACACGTACACAAATAATCCACAACAATAATTTTTATTATGAGTCAAAAGGAATTAATAACTTGAATGTAATGTCAAAGATAATGTAAAACACTGACGGAATGCTTAATTCTCGTAGGTATTTGTGTATACAAGCTTCGCAGTGATTTGATTATGATAAATAACAAAGACTAGTTTGTTAAAAGACACAGATCAAACCGTTTGAATATTCCTGTCTTTCCATTTGTTGAGTGCAGAAAAACTTAACATTAGATAAAGTGTTAATGATTGCAAAACTCTACCTCGAGAATAACTATAGCGGACTTGATTTACGCTTCCTTCACATTATTTTGACTTATTTTCTTAGATTTCATAGGCTTTTAGATGAAGATTAAAGTTGTATGAGAAAAATTTAAGAGGTAATGCACATAACAATAGGCTCTATTAAACTTAATGAATGAGATTGCATAACTAAGTAGTTTCAGTTGATTTACAGAAGGCTATGATTGAGTGCTGTCTTCATATTATTAATAATTTTTCAGTGATATTCCACAAAAACATTAGGAATTTAGGATGATTTAAGAGGTTTTCTTTATCGCAATTCACCTTAACTGCTTTGCAACGTTTTGAATATATTTTTGACAAATGGCCTCTGAAATCGATGATAATTGCAAGACTTTTAATGTCTTTTATTTCCCATGACCTAAGTGAACGTGGCGAATAAGGGAAAAAGGAGATAAGATTCTAGCGATAAACTGAAATCCTCATTTGAAACTGAGTTATTGGTTTGAATGTATTGGCTGACTGCCTACTTATGGTAAACACAGAGATTTTTGGCATCGCTTTTAACTAGACACTGAGCAAATCATGATGTGAAGGCGATAAATTTTGATGGAACCAGTAAAACTGAATTTCAAAGATAGAAAACATAAGAGAACTAACTATAAATTCACTTCTTTTCAGCTGAAACATTCTTATAATGTTGCATATTGCCAACGTCTAATAGAGTTTCAATGAATAAATGGTTACATTTAGTCTAAATGCAGATATTTTGTGGCAGAATGTCTTCACACTCTATAAAGTCGCTAATGAAGCAGAAACTTCAAAATATGTCGATTCTGTATAATAATTCAATATCATATCTAAACTGTTTTCGATTCAGAGCACGGGGAAATCACAAATCATTCCAACTGAAATCACACGAATGCTTTCTCATGAAAAATATATAATTCTTTATCAGTAGTCTTCAAAAGTTCCTAGAGAATGAAGAGGAATTCAAAACTTAACGCTCAGTGAAAAAAAACAAAGATTAAGGTGATTTTCATTTACTAGTCAATGACCTGAACATCAAAAAAGGCACTTAGCTCATAATAGTTGAAATTGAAAATTTTACCTAGCGTAAATTCAAGCATATCATGTTTAATGTCGCACAAACTGGAAGATCTACAGGCGAAACTAATAAGTTGATGGAAGAGGCAGGGCAGCAAAAACAAAACTTCAAGTAAATGTAGAGAAGACGCAGGTGATGAAGATACCCAACAAACAACACCATCAACAACAACAAGCTCCAATCACCATAAACGGCAGAAACTTAAAGGAAGCAGTCTCTTTCATCTACCACCTGAGCAGCGTCGTTTCAACCACAGGTGACACAGAAGAGGATGTCAAAACCAGGATCAGAAAAGCAAGACAAACTTTCACTAATCTGAAATCAGTGTGGAGATCTACTGCACTCAGCATGTGGAACAACTTCAGGATTTTCAACACCAATTCAGTCACGTCAGTGCTTCCATATGGTTCAGAGAATTGGCATGTTACGAAAGACATTTCCAACAAACTACAGACATCCATCAACAACTGCCGACTACGCTGGCTCGATACTGACAGTGAAGATCAGATGGCCAGAATAATAAGAATAAGCAACAAGGAAGTCTGACTGGCTGTTAACCAACCAACCAAGAAGGCGTCACTCAACAAATATGCACTGGAGGGGAGTGGAGATAGATGTACTGGGCATACACTGAGGAGGCCGATTGGGGACATCACGCTCCAGGCAAGGTGGTCGAGTGGAACCCAGATGAGAAGCGACGAGTTGGGCATACCAGCTGAGGGTGACATGGAGGAGGTGGTGTGATGAATAAATGCGAGCTTGTGGGCAGTGGTGTGGCGAGTTTGTAAAGACTTCGGAGAATAGAGTGTAATGGGGACATGCTACTGAAGCCCAATATTCCACTAGGAACTCAGGGGAAAAATAATAATATTGAGCAACTCTGTCGTGTTTCTTATATGGTCAGTTATCTCCGCTGAAAAGTCGAACAGTAAATTATACTCGATCGTTATGTGCTGTGAATGGCAAAACTTTGTATAAAAGTTGCGAACTTATTGTACTGATGATTTGCAATGCCACCTAGGTGAATAAACACTGCATAAGCTATTGAATATTCAACTAACCTACTGTTTGACAACGTGAGACAATCATTTATGAACACTGGACATAACAAAGACTACAGAATAACGGATCGCTTTTTGGACAGATTGGATGAACTCTCGAAGATAGCTCACAAATTTGGTCTTTTGTCAGAAAAATCAGTTTTTGCTTTCTCAAAGTCTTTTTAACAGTCGAAAAAGCAGATGTGATGACCACTAGATTTTGTCAGCATTACATAAATGCTGCTTGATGAAATGTGTATTACCTTTCAGATAGAAAGGAGTCCACGTGAATTAGCTTTGAATTAAGAGATATTTTCACTGTACTGTTGAAGACACTTGTTAACCCTGCAGGTTTTAGTGGATGAATAACGTAAATAAAATAATGTCTTTTTATTCTGAATATGGTCCTTAACTCTCCATAAAATCTTGTTAAGAAAACGATAGCATATCAGTCCAACTAATTGTTGATTATTTCATATATTTATTAACTTTAGAAAGGCACAAAAAGCGAAATAGAAGTTGGCAGGACATTCGCTACAATACTGGCCGATCCCGAATTCCGTCAGGAAATATTATTTGCGAACAATGAGAATGAAGTGAAATTACTTTTATGGGAAAGAGCGCAGCAGTTGGCAGTTCAACAATCAACAAACAGACGTAGGTCGTCACAATTCCATGGCCTTAAAAATTTGAATATCAGTATGGTGAGTTGATAATTAATTTTATATGTTCGCGTAATTATATGGTTCAAGATGCTTTTCACTTTTTTCAAAGGTCATATCACAAATGGATATCAAAATTATCCTCAAAATAAGGTTAATTTATGAATACTTTAATTACTTTGTTTCCAGATTTGATTAGACTGAAAATTGTTTGACAATAAAACGAATAATACTGATGTCTGCTACCTTTTATGTTCATAAGTCCCCAAAATATCTTCACTTGATGGAGCCACTGAATAAATTGCCCAGGTACTCGAAGATTATCTGTCAGTTTTTTTGTGAATCATAACTTTCACTCTCTTAAAGCTGTTTCATGCCTTCAACACCAGTGTGACCTTGAAAGTGTCTTTGCGTTTCTGAACAGCCACTGCCTGTTCAGCTATGTGGCCCACGAAACTCCAGTCCTAATCTCTTTCCCTCTTGCTAACATTTCCAATTTAATCACGTCCAGTTGAAAGAAGTATATGTAGAGTAATTTCGTAGAATTCTTACATTGGATCTTACCGTTTCTGTCTTAAATCCCTAAACTCTTTTTGGTCAACGTTTTTGGCTCAATGATGTAGACTAATTTCTTACATGTGCATCACCACAGTATTTAATTTGGATACGCAGTTTGCCCTTCATTAATAAAGGAAATATATTCGTAAGATAAAGCAGAATTTATCTTTTTTGCAGCCTTCTTCCACCCTATGTGACTTCCTTATTTTCACCACTAACGGTAATGCTACTTTCCTGTTATTTATCCTTCCACTTGTGAGATGCCAACTTGTCAGTTTACATCCCTATGATCATACTCTTCCGATTAGAACAAACTCCTTTGGTCCGATGACGTCTTCATTCTTATGCTAGCTGGGGAGTTTTTGATTTTTCCTATTTTGTTAATTCAGTAACCACCTTAATTGTCCATTATCTATTGTAACAGAAAATCACAACAAACAGTATAGTTTGGGTCCTCTATACACTTTGCTCTGAAATTTCTGAAAAAAACTTATTATACAAACTGCAGAGAGTTATCCGAATGAACATTTTACCTTATACCTTATATCATTTGGCTTTACTGGTAAGTGTGCATATACATCGGTGTATTACCTGCTCGTAATTGAACAGTTAGGCGCTAAATAGCATTGAATACAAGACGATAAATACACAGTAACAAAACTGAGCTAAATAAACATTTTCCATTGCCTACATTGTTGGCTAATGGAAAGAAATCGAATCACACTTGAAAAACACCTATTCACAATCCATAACAATTAGAATGACAATTTTGACTGAGTAACTAATTACTTTGGATATAATCAAGTTCTAAATTTAAATAAATTATAGCCTGAATTACTAAAGTTATAGCAATTAGTTCAATGTTTTGAATTCAAATCAAATTAATTGATGATAACAACAGTTTGGAGAAAGAGAGAGAGGTGTACAAGGTTTATCCATCCCTTGTCCTTATTATCCAACATTTCTGAAGGGATTGGTTCCTATGGTTAAACTATATTGAGTTATTTATTCCATTGTATCCTTTTATAACTGTGATAATAAAACTTTTTATTTTATTGACTACTTCAAATTCATAACTGTTGGTATTGAAGAGTATTTTATTCAAATCTATAAGCTAGTAAGGAACTAATGAAAATAATTAGCTATCCACTCCAGTTTTGCTTCAATTTACAAACGAATACAAACAAAATACGAAGTTAGGAATAATGTTTTAGGCATAATCAACGTTTCCTCACTAATCTACGTGGTCAAATGACTTTGTTCCGCAGAAATTTGAATCTCCGCATTTTTCAAGAGGTGTATCAATTGAAATAAGGCAGTGAATAAAGAAGTAACACGAAACTATATGATTTCGTTGTTTCTCTGCAGTCACATGACAAATAAGACGATTTACAGCAACAACTTACTCGTCAGGATTTGTAGTTATACGGACTAAAAAGAAATATTGATAGCCAATCATCATACTAGGTCAAGTAATTCAGAATAAACAAAGAGTCACATCCACCACTTTGTCTGGATGAAATTAAGATTTTGTCACACCTAATAATTTTAAATTAATGTTAAACAGTTGGCAAACACGCATTAACACTGACTTTGTGACCAGTCATCAGTAAATGCCTAGTTATGGAGGAAGATGGCTTCTATTCTTGTTCGTTGGGTTTAATTTATGTGTATGATTTGAAAGATCTTGAAAAACATTTTCTTTCCGAAGGTATTGCAGCACTGTATCAGTTTCGCCTATATTAGTGCTCCTAAAGTTGCAGGTGAACTTACTGAGATATTGTGACGTAGATTTAACGGAATTTCGTTCTTTATTTGCGATTAAATGTCCTTGGGGTAAAAAAACGTTTAGCGAAAGTGCATTTGAAGGTTGATTATACGGTTGCTCGATGTAGATATTCATACCTGTTTACTATGTCACTTTTCACAACATCGGAATTTACATTGAAAGCTCTTGCACTGAATGTCCATGCGTTCAGTTTCAACCAATTCACAGTATTTTAAGTTTCATTTCCATCGTTCTTCATTGTTCACTGCTTACCAGACTGAACACGTCTGTTCGAGATTCACGGGACAGTTTTCAGTCTCCGGAGTTGATAAACTCTATTATGACACGTGGAAAATCGAAGAGTAATAGTGATTTACTACAAGCTGGTTCAGTTGGAAAACACAAAGGAAGTGTAGTGTCAAAACCTGTAACAGCCTCACTAGACATAGAATTTGAAACTTCGCAGTAAAGTAAATCCATATGTCCAAGAACTCACAGAATATCGTATGACTGCCAAATACTGATAGAAGAAAATGCATTAATTTATGATCGCACATCTTTGAGAATAAAGTCACTAGAAGAGGTTTGTCCTCTGAAGTAAATGTTGCTATACTTCTTCCATTTCTGGACTGCTATCTTACACACAAATCAGTGGTCCATTACTTTTCACTGATATTGTCTATTCATTAGTTTCAGCTCCAAGCTTACTATGAATCTTCAATTTACTAATCTTGAATCCGACATAACATAATTAGTACACATTTACTCACAACGTATTCAATTACACAATCTATTTTAAAAGTGTGGTTACTCAAGGTAGCCTACGATCGACCAGTTACTCCTAATTCACTTTGGAGCCTATTAATCACAGACTGTGAAGTATTTATTTACTCTGTGAATTTTTCATTTTTAAGTCAGTCTCGTTCAAGACACAACGTCTTTCAAATAAGTTTAAAAATTCACAAATTTCGACAGCTGAAGAAAACTATTCCTACATCATTGTATACTTCGCTTCTTTTATGCTTTCATCAGTAGTGGATTTGTTGCTCATTAGTTTGGGAAGATGACTTTCAGGCAGTGGATCACGAATTCGAGCGCCGCTGCATATACTGAGGTTTGGGCAGCCAAGTAGCATCACTAGCCCTCACGTAGTAGGTGTGGCTCATCATTTAATGCACCGATGTGTTTTGATTTTGACCAGTTCATTAGTTTAAGTGAATTGGTTATAAGTGGGAATTTCGTTAGGATTCTAGACGATATTTGCCATTAGCACAAAAATTATCAAAACACGAAGTAGTACAGTTTTCCTATAAACTGTTAAACGTTTTGCCATGGTTATAGGATAAATATGTGTTTGTTTCTTCAATTTAACTACCATTAACTGTAATAAAACAAAAGTATGATTTGACAAGTGTTATATAGATAAAGACAGTTCACCTCCCAGTCCAATATCCCACATATCTTGATGCTTACTCACCTTAAACTACGCAACAGTTAAAGAATCTGATCGGATAACTAGTACAGTAGACTCATATCATCATAATGTAGTTCTGAAAATCCACAGTACAGGTTTACAGGCAATTTTAGAATGTTTACAGAAGTGTACATGACCGATACCTGCAATCATGTGCTTATTTACATACTTGGCACACAGTGACAGCATGATTTACTGTATGACGTCTCGAGCAGAACTAATTGCTCATATTCATATCAGAGTAATCATACGACTTTCACACTTCCTTTATTTCGTTCAACAGTCCTTCATTCTTGTATTTTAATGGAAGAATGAAAGACTATCCGACTAAGTTTGAAAGTCATACGATTATTTTCGTATAATTTTGCTCGAAATGTCATCCAGTAAATTATACTGTGTCACTGCGTGCAGTGTCAAATAAACAGTCCAATGTGAAGTTATACGTTTTATTCTTACACTAACGATTATGTATTTATTTTTTGAGATGAATGGGGATTTTTTTAAATTTAGAGGTAGTATTCATCATGAACTGACATCATTTAGGGAACAATTGAAAATCTGGGACCACTGAACAGCTGTTTCGTCCTAGTATGGGAATCCTCAGCAGTACGCACCCACGACCTGGCTGGAGACCGAACTTAGGACCATCAGGTTTCACGATGAATGCATCAACCGTTGAGCCACCTGATCAGTTTTCAGTGGTTTACAATTTCCAACTTCTGTCAATTCACGATATAGCGCGAATGTCACCCAAGCAGTCCAGTGCTCCCAGATTTTCAATGGTTCCCTAACTAATGTCAGTCAATGATGAAGAATACCTCCAGATTACATATTTGTTAATTATGTCACGGATAAATCATCATTATGGCTGACCTTCTTACTTGTTTATATTGTTCCTCTAGAGTTCTCAGTCAATGATTGGAAAAGGAATTTATTCAGACCTTAAACGTAAAATACCATATTATTGGTCTGATATAACAGAAGGTATGAACATACTTTGTATTATTATTTTGTGAACTGTTAGATATTTGATCTTCTTGGGTTTGCCTGTATGTGTGCATATCTTTTCCCAATTTTATTTTTACAGGTTGCTCAAACACATTAACATTTTTCGTATGCTTATCTAGTATAATATGTTTTAGTAGTGTCCGAAGTGCAAAGAAAGCTATGCTCTTAGCTAGGTGGCAAACTAGACCTGAATATATCTAATATTTAAAAAGTCTTGCGCAGTTTTATTTTGAGTCGTTTAAGCAGGTTTCAACTTGAAAAGTGAATTTAAAAGTCATCATACCGGTGAACTCCATGAATTCATGTCAGGATTTGTCTGCATTCCTAATCTTCCATTAACTCTGTACGGCCAATTTCACGGTAATTTAAATGGTTTCTAAAATACCACATGCAAGTATGTTGGCAACCAAAATGTTTATGGATTTCAGATGATGTTTTGCTTAATAGTGAAAATGGATGAATGCATCCATCACTTGTGCATCTTTGAAAAATCTCTTTAGTCAAGTTTAATAAATAAAAGAAGTTTCAATTTTTCTATGAAAAATTGATATAGAGATGACTTTCGAAGTGCAGCCACTGAGACCTCTATTCTTCTGTGTTATATGCGCTATTATTGATTATTAATAATTCAAAAATACTTCGTAAATCGCCTAAACTAATACGCATAGGTTTTGTTGTAAAGTATCTATCATGCATTTACTCAATATCCGCTTCTGTAAAGTTGCTTAATCAACATATATTACACCCTACAACAGTCATAATATGGAATGTGTAACACAGATGAAAAATGGAGGTCTTTTCAAACCAAGTTACTGTTAACTGACCGACTAAACGGATGCTTTATTTGTTCAGCTGTGATACGCTTTTTGATAATTTTTAACTTTGTAATTCAGATTTATATTTGTGTTAATGAAAAGACGTTACCGTCAGAGACTCAATAAATGTTCGTCTAGTTCCCTGCGAACCTTTCAACAACAGTTGCAGTAGTTAAGAAGTCTAATGTGTAAAGAAGAAGGCATCTCTTATGCCTGATAAATTTGAAAAATAGTTGGCATTTTAATAAATCTGAATTTGAGGATAGAATTTGACAAAATGTGTCATATTTTGCGTGTTTAACTCAACTGCAACACTTGATCATTCTTGGGAAATGCTTACTTCTATCTAATTGAAGTCGTCCTTATAAATCATCATAAAAGACATTCCAACTTCATTCTCTTTTCAAATGGGCTGATAACTATCCTAGATGATGATGAATCTAGCTAGATGACCAAGCAACTAACAACCCTCATCGAATACACCACCAAAAAAATTTGTCTACAAAACAAAATTTCCGATAAGAGAGTAAATTGACTAAAAATTAAAGTTCATAGAATTTCAGGAACAAAAAGGGTAATATAACACTGTGATAATGAAGTTTACTTGGTGGCTAGTGGTGAAATCCAAGGTGCGTGTTTCATCCCATTCAGAGCTAGTCAGATGAATGTAACTGCACCCCAACAACTGATGGTGTTCCCACTGAGACTTCAACCAAGTACCCATCGCTTGAAATGCCTAAACGTTGTCCAATACGTCAATGAGGCAAGACAGCCATCTCTTGTAAAAACTGTCTCGGTTATTGTGATGCTGAGTTATTCCGATTAGTAGTGATAACACTTACTTGGTCGAAAAAGCCCCATTGCAGTTCCGCAACTTGAAAATAGGTATTGTCCACTCTGATATGAATGTACTTTGTTCACTTCCACATGGTGTCAGTGTCAGTTTGGTGATTACTTGTTTGAAATGTATCTTTGCTTAGAGTGTGCTAATTTCTCTCAAGGAGCATGGTGTCCTGAATACGCTTCACTGAAGTACAGTGACAAGAAACGTTTCATCAAAATTCCCTGTGAAATCCAAAATATTGTTATTTTTAGGCTGACATTATTTAATTGCATTGCTCCAGCCATTTTTCACTTCAAAAGAGCATACTTTCGAAATCATACTTATTAAAATCTGAATTATCAAGGTAACCAAACGAAAGCTTCTATTTCACAACCTGACTTGACGAACTTCGCTTTATTCTGGGATAGCCCCTGTCAACCAAAGTAAACCTGTTCAAAAGAGTGAGATAAAACTCTCAAAGTAAGCTTTTTCAAGTATTTCGTAGTCGAGCTGCTTAAAAAACACCATCTTCTCCTTTCCTCAATTTACTCATGATCTTTATAACATCTATTCATATCAGTAGCTGATCAAGCAAAAAATTGTGTACACACTACTTTCAAAGACAGAAAGTACCAAAGATTTATGTAAGAATTCATTTTGTTGCTTATTTTTATATATTTAAACCATAAATAATAACTTACAGTAATAGAAAATTTTTCACCTTTCTCCTCCACATTAAAACTCAAGGCTTCCGAGGTAAAAACTCCCTACGTAAAACAATATCAACAATAATTTTCCTCTATTTTGCCTGCTTACTTCCATCAATCGCATTTGGATTATTGAATTCAAAAATACTGCCAAAAAAATGGGTAAGACGGGGTGGGAAAGTTAGAAATATCAAACTGTATTTTTCTTATCCTACTTGTTTGTTGCATATTTTCGCTTAAGCTTACCATCTTCATTATTTAGTTTATGCAGATTTTAAGTAGAAAGTTTATTCTGTTTTCTCTCAAATGTACGCCGTGTGCGCATTTTTCTCTCTGTGTGAGTAAATTTTCCAATGAGTTATAATGAATTAAGAACAATTTTATGGAATTTTTATTTGCTTTATTTATCTGGTGTTTTAATTCACTGAGGATTAAATTTTCAGATAAAATGCCAGTCTTCATCATCTACTCGAAAAAAATAAGTTTCTGGCAATTCCGTTTATTTTGTCAGTTGTTTCGCCGGAAGCTATTGAACAGGTTGTAGTTGCAATTCTGGAAATTTCAGTCTGACTTGTAATCTGAGAACAACAGATACCTCAAACAAATATTTATGACTGAGTAATTGTCAATAAGAAGAACAAAACTTGAATACTAAGAGGTGAATAGATTATTCTCTACTCATATGTTATGTCAGTACTATTAGCCTACAGGTTTTGGAAGGTACAATTGCTCAGCATTTAGTCCATGCTACACGTAATGGTGATATCTTAAAATTATTCAGACGGTGGCACTTTGTCGAAGCAAAGGCATTTCAAAGCACCGAACCATACCATTGTATTCTAAAAGACGTTTTAGTCTGTTTCACTCAATTTCAGTAAATTCGATCTCTTAAGTTTGTAATTATGCAATTTCATGACTTCATGGCCCTCTAATCTTTGATTTTCTTTATAGACCTACTTCAACAAATACCTGCTGTCATTTTCTGAGTTACGTTCACCTGATTACTGAAAGTGGTGAAAATCTGTTGGGCTTTTATTACATTCACTTAATCATAATCTATTTTGATTACTTTATTTGTATCGTAAAAATTAAATTCTTTTGGTTGCATACCAGTTAAATAGAATACTCGGAATGTATGAGTGGTAATTCCACCATCTATTTTCTTCTCGCTTTAGTTTCACTGTGCTTGTCAACAGTTGTAGCCAGTGTCTTTCATCTTGCAAGTGAATTAATAAAATGAACTCCAGCGTATAAAGGGTATCAAAATATCTTGATGTGTGTTTAAGCTTTTACTCACGTTTTTAAAAAAGTTAGATCACTGCGTTAAATGATTACTGTAGAAGGAAAAGTAAACTAGCTCATCTTTGGTGAAATTTAAAACATTCACCTTCGAATGTGAACACTTATATGTAGTCATAATGAAAATTCTACAAAATAATATTCATTTATTCAAAAAATAAAATACCAACCGTTTCAATCGAGATAAATAACGCTCGACCAGTCTGATAAATAAAACATGACAGTCCACTACTTACCTGCTGATGGTTAACAGTGGAATTTAGAAAGGATTTTTCATCTTTTGGGGGACTTGCCAGCTGAGCGTTTCTAGTGGAACTCGAACCTACCATTCATCTCTGGAAACGCCACTTCGTTATCCATTAAAGTTCAAAAGCTCCCTTTTGTGCAACGGGTAACGGCCATTATTAAATATTGATACATATAATTTCTCGTTGTTATTCTGGATCGAAATAATTGACTTCTGCTGGCATATAGAATCGTATACGGACCCCTCAATATGCCAACATAGGTTGATCACTTCGATTCAGCATCACAGTGGAGAGTTTAAAGTAATAGCAAATAATAAGAACATGGCGATGCAGTTGAAGGACATTTTCTTTTCTATAATATCTTTCCAATCAAATTTACAGTTATCACAAGCAGACTGGTTAACGTAACGTCATCACAAACATTTCATACAAAAAAATATTTTAGTTTCTGACATTAGATAAGTATTGCGTGACAATCTGCAATAAAAATAAAATGTAAAACTATCATGAAATTCTATACGACAAATGGTGACAAAATATTCGAAATTACTCAGCGTATAACGTGTGTCATTAACAGAAAAATAAATGTATAAAATGAAAGGCAAAAAATATTAAATTTATAGTCATGATAAGCTGTCAAAAAGTTAAAGATATTAAGGATGGATTATGAATATAGTATAAAGAGAAACTGAAAATACCTATTTTGCGCACAAAGCTGAGTCTTATGTCAGTGGATTTTCTAGGCTTTCACTATCCATTTTTAAAAAGCATTCGGTCCAGTTTTCTAGATCAGTGTCAATTAAGGGTCTCAGGAAAATGACTGAAAAGCGTTAGCAAGAATAAACTTTGGTGGATCTCAAATTTTTGCTCTACCCTCAGTCTGGATATAAGTGAATCAAAAACGCTTTTTGTAGTCTATATGACCAATATCACAATAGCAGTTAACCTGTCAACACTAAAAGTTTCACCTTTATCAGATTTATGCAATGAGTAATTTTCAATTTCCAACTCAACCACTCTGAATTTTGGAATGTTTCAGAAACTTCAGTCGAACGGGGATTCATTTTGTTCCCCTATCTTCAGTTACTTCTCACATTAAATAACATCTATCTTTTTCTGGAAACAATATCCTACTTCACTATGCAAAACATTACCACTCTGAGGAAGATCAGACAACAGGTAGCTTTGTCTAGGACTCTAGAAAGCCTGGCTATTCATGTATACTGCATCTCAGCGACCTGCATACAGTATCCTAGCAAAGTGCTTCAAATTAGTTCTTTATATAGTAGCTCGAAATGTATGTTTCATGTGCGCTTAACTGGGGACCATGTGACATCGGCAACCGGCCTTGCTGGTATCGGTGTCAAACTAAACGCCCAAGCCAAAGTGACGCTACCCTACTGGATCCCCATTAACAGTCGTATTTGTGCTATTCGGCTAGGCCAGAAGATTCGCCTCGGGTAAGAAGTAATCGTCAAGGGAAAAGAGGTCTTTTGGTCATCTCTGCCTATGTTCCAGTGGATTGTAGCCTGGAAATAACCAAGAATGAATTCTATTATCAACTGAGTGACCTTCTCATTCAAATGCGATCGGCAAATATCGCAGTGCTAGATGTGAAATTGGATGCTCAGGTCTGGTGTCCAGATTCATAGGAAAGTCATACAGGTGGCCAACGGAGACCGTAATTGTGTCCATCTTTGAAAAGGGTCTACGTAATGCAGTTGACAGTCGTCGGGTTATTAGTCTGCTACTAGTTGCCTCGAAAATATTGGCTGCTATCATACTTCGCAGACCTTGCACAACACGTGGGAAGATGATTCGTGAGGAGCAGGCCAGTTTTCGTTCGGGTGGTGGATGCATTCATCATGTGTTTACCCTCCAACAAATGCTTGAACATCGACAGACATCACTGGCAAGCAACCGTTATGTTTCTTGGCTCTAAGTTTGGCCTCGATTCGTTGGACAGAGTTGTACTCTGGAATCGTCTGTTAGAGAGGGGCGTGCCTGAGAAAATTTATCGATATCTTGAAATCTGTATCTAATAACACATTGTTCCAAACCAGCAGTGGTGTTGGGGAGGGTAACCCGACTTCTCCATTCCTCTCTAACTTTGTCATCAATGACATTCTTGAGACAACTATGAAGGAAGTACGTCATGGTGATGCAGACTTACTTTTGAGAGAACGACTATTCAACCTTGAATATACGGATGATGTCATCTTACTGTACGATAACATGCAAGCTACTCAAATCACACTTAATCTTTTGGCGATTAGTGTCCGTAAGTATGATATGTGCTTTGCACCATTAAAGTGCAAAGTACTTCTGTAAGATTAGCAGGGGCCCGTGCCTGCACTCACTCGCAGTGGTGAGCCGTTGGAAGTGGTCAGAAAGTTCGTGTATCTGGCTAGTAGTGTGGGTGCTGGTGGAGGTATGCGTGGTTAAATTTCCAACCACACGTCGGAAGCCAGAGTGGCATCCGTCAATATGGGTCACCTTTGATGCTGTCGTGACGTTAGTGTGACCGTGAAAGATCGGGTTTACAACATTTCGGTGCGAGGAGTTTCGCTCCACACCTCTGAAACCTGATCTCTCCAAGCTGAGGATGTGCAATGACTCTGTGTATTCGATCATCGTTGTCTCCGTAGGGTTGCTCGTATCTGGTGGCAACACCATGTAAATAGTCCTGAGGTATAAGAACAAAACTTGGGCAGTGTGGTCGATTGTAATTCCATTTTAGTCTGTTCATTAGAAATATCACACAGTGAAACAGTAGCGTTTACTGGTAACGTTTCGGACACAATTTATTGTCTATATTCATATCAGGTAACTCCACAACTTTGGACAGACTTTATATATTCCTAATTTCCTCTCCTTCTCTGTGACGACAAGGGTAGTAGCATTTTCCATATATCTGGGACTGGTACGGAATCATTTCTATGACTGCATGTATTTGGTGTTGATTCGGTAGACAAAGATTTAGTTATCAATGCCTCTCTCTACCCAACTAAGTTAGTTTTCAACATTGTCGCCCTATCCCACCCTACTGTGTGATTGTGTGTCATCGCATGCAGAGCTATAGCAGAGCTTTTCTCTAGATTTCTTATCTTTTTAGGATCTACTAATCTTGATTCAGCTAGGTTTTGTGCTCTGTTATTCTAATCGACCCTGGTCGACTGCTTTGACCTATGTACTTGACCTCCTGAGGTACGACGGCGTGTGTGAGTATGATGGAGATCGTCATCCTACAAATGAAGTCATCTAGAAACACTGGCTTCGGTGGCTTGGACATGTGTCACGTATGCCGTACCAACGGCTTCCATACTGTTCATTGTTTGTAAACCCTAGGACTGTATAGAAGAAGTGGAGGTATGGTCAGTGTGTGACGTGGTGGCGTGGGATGACGGATTGTTGTAATGGGTTAGGATGTGTTGGTGCATCACGATTTCCTGGGTGGGGTCTGAGAAATCATTCAACTCAGTGACTTGGGACGTTATAAAGTATGACTCAGAATGGAAACCATTAGTGGTCATGCTGCAGTTTTCTTCTATCTTCTGCTATTGAAAAGTAATGAATGTTTCGTTACTAGTGTACTTTACTAGAATTCCTTTCTAA